TGGAGCAATGTAAGGACGCTAAAGTGGCTGAATTTTAAACTTGGAGCAATGTAAGGATGCTAAAATATCCCGTCCTCATATTAAACAGGGAACAAGCATCCACTGCACCCACACTAGCAGAGCAGTTGTTGTATCTAGCGCATACTCAGTCCAGGAAGGGGAAAATGCAGATTCACAGGGAGCTCTCCAAGGTGCTGAGCTGACTCCCTCAACTTTAAAGCTTGTGATTATCAGGAATGTTCACTAACCACAAGAATTGACTTGGACTCAGCTCTGCTGTTCTGGAAAACAGCAAGATTTGGCCTGAATCTCTTCCAAGAATGTTTGAATTGGCTCTGATTCCGGAATCAGAAAAAGAAAGCTTCATGCCTGCTCCATTCACTATGATGGGGAAATAAAAGATGGTGCAACCTTTCACCCCTTTTTGACATTGCTTTTTCTTTTCTTTTCTTTTCTTTTCTTTTCTTTTCTTTTCTTTTCTTTTCTTGCAAGAGCAGCCTTTTCAGTTTTGGGATGGGTGAAAATGGGTTCACTTAATCTTCCCTAGTGAGGTCAAAGTGTTTTTGGGTTAGGAACCTTTGAAGTTGATTTTTTGGGGGAAATAAATAAAAGTGATTTGCTTTCCTCTTTGTGGGCAGTGATTTTATTATGAAAATGGCATATTTTCTTAGGAGCAGCTTTATGATGTAGCTAGCGAAATTTCAGAAGCATCGGAGTAGGGAATAAGGTGTTATGATGAATGACAAAACAAAAAACCAAAACCAAAACAAGCCTCAAGCTTGTAACACTATAAATCACAGAAACAAAGTGCAAAGCTGATTTGACAGGAGCAGGTATATGGTCATGTTGCAAGGGCCAGAAAGACTGGAATGTCCAGCACCACTAGCAGAATTAGCAAAGAGCACAGAGTAATCAAGAACCAGGTGATACATTACTTCAGCATCCTTTTCCCCAGAGCACTGTGATTGGAGGATGCTGCTAGATTAATTCCTTCTGACTAGAATGTAAACCTGTCATTTTTATTTTTATTTTAAAGAACTATCTCTCTCCCCAGTCTGACATTTCGCTTATATGGCAAGCTTGGGGAGAACTGCTAGAGTTTTCTCACAACCACTATCTGCAGCACTTTTAAGCACCTGAATTTCTAAAGCATTTTGAAAGTTTCTACTTCAGTTCTGGGTGCTTTGATCCTGCTTTGGATTGAACAAGCCCCAGATTTGCCTGAAGTGGCCTGATTTGGTTCTGGAGTCAGGATTCATCTTTCTTTCTTTCTTTTTTTGCATACCTTTAGTGATTATCCATGATTTGACTATGGTTACATGGCAAGTACCTGGTATGACTATTCTTACTGTGACTCCCCCTAAAGTGATACTATTGATGGTTCTTCCCCTCAAGTAAGTCCTGGGTCCATGCAAAACAACACAGCAGCCCTCACACTTAGACAAACTGAACCAATTGGGAGGAGCTCTGCATGGACGAATAGCCTGACTGTGATATGAGCCAACCAGCTGTTTTAACCCACCTCCACTTGGCAGTCCATCTGTGGAGTCTATACCTTCCATTTCTCCTGATAAGACAGCCCTGCCAGGTAGGATCCCAGCAGTGTGTAGAAGTGATGGCATGTAGGCTTTCCCCGGCAGCCACCCACATCTAATTTGTGGATATTGGGGACAATAATGAGGTGCTAGAAAACCATGGGGTACAGCCAGAGGAGTAGCCCCTTTAATGTGTGATGCGCCTTCATGCAATGCATTTTGAGTGTACATAGGTACGGAGCATATCTTTGAAACGATGTGTGTGGGGCTAGTGGTGGCAATCCCAGTCACTGTTCTACTCATTTATCCCCTCCACGCCAAATTCAGAACAACCAAGTAGGTTCAGCATACTATAGAGGAGAGAAATTATTTAGGCCAGGAAGCTACAGAACTCTTCAGAGTATAAATTCTGTGTGTCAGAACTCCATTATTCTGGAATATTTAACTTGATTAAAACTGCAGTTACTTAATTCAGTTCTAATTAAAACTGTAACTCGTTCACACTGTCACAAGATTTACAAGGCAAATGTCTATGTGCATTTTAGCAATTTAGATAACATGATTTTGCATTTCTTTCATTAGGCCTGCATTTATTGTGTGAAATACAGAAAATGATGCCAGAACTGAGTATTTCTAGGTGGTTTTATAGCTCAGTCATCACTTTTCAGGAAGGAACAGTTTAAATTATTGGTAATCAATAGCAAACAATTTTTTAAAAATGAAGATTGAAGAGAGATCATTTATTCAGGTTTTTTTTTTTAAAAAAAGCTTTTTGATATATAAGCAATACATTCTAAGGTATGAGTAGCCATTGCATTTTTCTTTTATATTTCTGGCTGGCTTAGCTGCAGTGTTCCTTTTATTGTTATGTCCTAATTTCATCCTTGCTCATTTTAAGAGTTAGATGGCAATGTTGACCTCAAATGATCCTTGGCAGAGGGCTTTTGAAACAACTTGGAGCAAAGAAGTAATATCCTTAAATAGACAATTTGTAAAAATTCCACATCTGAAACTGAACAACTGAACTGAGTGCTCCAATATATTTGATTGTAGATGAATAATTCAAATCCTTTCTGATTTTTTTTAAAAGGAAAAACCCAAGATGAGCTGCAGCTACTACTGCTTGTGCCAAGAAATTCCTAGTTGGTGAGCAGGAAATCAACATTCTTGATCCTCAAGTTGGTAGCAACTGATACAATGAGAGGATAATTGCAGATACCAAGCTAGAGAGTGATGACTATCTTAGGTTAAGGACTTGGGTGTGGAGTGCCACTGGAGAAGCCCAGGTGTAGTTTTGGCCATCCTCTGCATAAACTGTAGCAACTGTTTTGAAGAGGGAACTGAACAGCAGAGGGAGCCAAATAAACATAGCCTGGAGACAGTGGAGAAGGCATTGCACTGCCAATTACTTGTCTTTGTAGGATATACAGAAGCAAGAGTATAACAACGATCTACCTCATGAGCCCTGATAGCTCTAGTGATAGGATCAAGGCTGAAGGCATTAGTCTGGATCACTGCATCTATAGTTTCGCCCAGCAAAGTAACTAGAAAGATAAAGGACTATATATGCTTTTGTAAAATGAGTATCACAACAACTTGTAGTGAATTCTTCATGCCTTATGTTTCCAGGCTTCTACTTGAAGTGGTGGTGGTGGTGGTGATGATGGTGTGTGTGTGTGTGTGTGTGTGTGGGAGAGAGAGAGAGAGAGAGAGAGAGAGAGAGAGAGAATGGATATGGAGATAATGGACATACATTTCCCCATACCATTTTTGCACACTTCATTGCATGAAATAGGTGCACCAGTCTCTGTGGCGTGCAGAACATAGCCACATTTTTTCCTTGTCTGGAACTGGTCTGTCACTAAAGAAATTCAAACTCTCTTATGAGTACAACCATCTTGACTAGGAGAGCAGGGCCATGCTCTCACCATTGCATGCCTGATGGCCCAGCTTGTTCACTGCCACAACTTGGGGCAGGAGGTTTGAAGTGAGAAAGTGTGCAATTTAGAACTCTGTACAATCAGGGTTCTAAGTCACATGGGCACCTACACATGAACAGAGGTCTCCAGATCTTATCCCCAATGTGTGGACAGGAATGATGTTGAGCTGTCAGGGATGGGACAGTGCATCAGGTCCAGTGGGTGTGACCCCCATCCTCCTGGTCCATGTGATTATTTTTTAACTGAAGTCTTTCTTACAGTTTTTGAGCAATGCAATTAAGGTAACACACTGACAAAAATTAAAAGGGTACATCAGAACAGGAAACGGGGATATAGGCTGAAGTGTCTTGCCCATATAAAATGGTTAATACAAATGTACTTCCATCATGCTTAAAGAGTGATTTTTCTTAGTGTCATTTGATAGAAATGGACTGAAAATAGGAAGGGCAATGTTTCTTAATACCTGTGTATGTCTCCCCTGCCTCAAAAGGTGGGGAATCTAGCCTTCAGTGGGCAACTCCATTCAGATCCAGAAACAAGAGTAAAAAGAAATGGGAATTGTGCAGTTTGAATAGGAAAAGAGGGGAGTTAACAAAATTGAAGTTCCACCTTTCAAGGGCTATAACAGCTGGTCTATGGAGATTTATGCAATATTGGGGGGTTTGCTGTCGGTTGAAGGAGTGCCTGTTTGCTTCTGTGATGTCCTGCTAATATATTGGTGAATCAACCAAGTATTACAAGGACACCATAAATCTCCATAACTCTTTGTCAAAGAAAAGAAAAAAAATTAACGATGTCCCTGGAAATTCTCACTGCTTAGAAATAGAGTGCATACAACATATAGCAATTAATTGTCCTAACTTTACAGCAATAATAAAAATGAAATGTGAGAACTTGTGTTTCTGAGTAGCATTTAGGTTTAAACAATGGCAGATGTTTGAGTATTGCTTCTAAGTTTCAGAGGAAACATGCAGTGCTGGCATAGGATACTCACTGAGTCTACAATGAAGCTAAATATCAAGCAAATCCACTCATCAACCCCAGCGATTTAGCAAGAATCATATGAGCCTGTGTTCTAAGTAAATGTCTTTGTATTCTGAGAATATTAATTACTGGGTAACCATATAGCTATAATTAAATAAATAAAAATGTCCAGAGATTAAGCTGTAGTCAATGGATTTAAAGCTTCAATAAGTAACACAGCCATTTTGTTCCAAATAATGATCCTGAGGTGCAAACATCCCATTTACTTGTTCGAAAGGCAAGTTCTCCTCAATTAAAAAAAAAGTCAGATGGAAGGACTATCTGAATGCAATATGTTGAGCATACATTTTAAATCCAGAATTACTATGGAGCTTGTATCTTGTTCCTTTGAAAGTGCTGAATTCTGCTCCCCGCCCCCCAGTATAGTGTTGTTTGTTTTAAGTGAAAGCAAAGCCCTCCTCTGAAAGGGAATCATCTGCATGTCCCTGTCCTGTCACAGTGCCTGGCAAAGTGATGGGCATATTCCTTCACATCTCTCTCCCCCCCCCCCCATTTCTGGATGAAGGTGCCAAAATCCATCAATAATTGAAAGTGCTGACATGATGATACATTGCAGCAGAGCCTCAGGAGACATTATGATGCATTTCCTCATCGTGGTAAAGAAACACTGTGAAATTAATGTAGATATAATTTGATATTTAAATAAATGATGGAAGTGATTATAAGCTTATACTATGGAGAATTCCATTTTGAAACATGAATAAAACATAGTCTGGACTCATTTCCTCCCAAGTTCCACAATGCCCCAGCTCATAGTATATGCCACCTGGTATATGCTGAGGATAAAATAAGGTGTTTTAGTTACATGCAATTAATACCTGTTAATATTTTAATAGCTTATTATGCTCCAGGTGAGGCATTATCGTGAATTTGGAATGTGTGTCTGAACGTTGCAGATCTTTGCACATTTTTCACAACCTATGTAAAAAGTACTGTCAGCATCAAATCCTACAAATAGGCAGTGATTTGATATCAAGGCTGCACCCTTACATACTTATCTATACATTTTTACCCAGCAGTAAATCCCATGGAGTTCTATGGGACTTACCTCTTTTTAGGCAAGTGGAAGGTTGCATTCCATATGTGTTAAACAGTTCACTGCAGTGCTATTGTTCCGTTTGTTTCATTTTTATTATATCTTTGACAAAATGGTTTTTATTTATTTATTGTTTTTAACTGAGTGCAAGGTCTTTAGCAAATTGTAACTATGTCCTGAATCAGTGTATGTATTTATAGATCTACTATATTACTATGCTGCACAACTATGGAAAGTTCTTGGGCATGTTACAGTAAAGGTTAAAACCCACAAAGTATACAAATAAAACAAAGGCATAAAATCCAAAAGAGAGTAAAAACTGCAGCAGGATAACAACAAAAAAAGGGATCAATGATAGTCCAGAAGCTCTGAAAGCACTAAGCATGTCCTTTTGGAGGACCACAAACAATTAACTGCATGTGTGAAAGTCACTGGAGACAAAGATAATCTGGTCTAAAGTTCCCTACATGTGCTCAGGGTTCAGCTCCAGGTTGCTGATGTGGGTAGGATTTGCCAGTCTAGTTCAGGGGTTTGGGCAGTGGTAGGTGTGGCTATAAGGGAATATGGGCGCCCCCCCTCTCTTGCACAAACACAGGCACACAGCCCCCTCTTCAGCTGATCCATACAGATCAGCTGAGAACAGGGGGGGCTATTGTTAGGAAATAACTGGTGAATACCAATTAATGTGGGGGGAACTACAAAGGAAAATGGCTGGCTGCCTGAATTTTTAAATACAAATCTAATTCCCCTTTCATTTGACGATCTATACAATTTGCATATTCGGGAATGGGTATGAAAAAATGGGCATGAGTCGACCCTGAAGGGGGAGAGGAATGATCTTTTTCTTGGACAGTTCAAAGGATCTGATGTTTTCTCTCAACATTTGAGCAATGCATTGTGCTTTCAAGGGTTGTGAGTAAACAGCTGAGTACTTATTGCATTGGTATTAAATGCTCTTTCATGTGGAATGCTTGGTAGTGGAGAATACCAGTCACAACAATGCAGATACTCAATGTCTTGCAAAATCAGACACTGGGCATCTCTTGCCAAGTAATATTTCCAAGCGTTATTTTTATTGCAGTTCAGCCCGTGAGTTCTTACTAGTGTTTATAAGTTGATCCATAAATGATTACAGACTACACTTTCAGATCTATTTCTGGATTCAGAATCCTTGGTTTAAACATGTATTAATGGTGGGTATAAATACAAATTGTGTAGGAGTTGAGATCAGGTGACAATCCGTTTGGGAATGTTTGTGCATCCCTCTTTGGAAGTCTATTTGTTTACAAAGCAACAGAAATTAAAATAATATGCTACAGAAAATATTGGCTGGGCAAAATGATAACAGCACAGGCGTTATAATTATTTATAGCAGCTCACATGCATACCTCAAATTAAGCAATATTAGCTTTGTAGCAATCAGTTTCTGGTTGAATCCTAGGTATTTCTAAATACTTCTGTGTTCTTTGAAAATGACTTTTTAAAACCTACTGTGGCATATTTGGATAGCTTCTGGTTACTAAGCCCAAATGTTGAATATTCAGGGAAAGAACAAGCAGGTCATACATAAAGTGGCTCCTCTGAAGATGCCCTTGATTTCTGTCCTGTATCTGCAATGAAGACATGATTTTGGTTATTTGAAATGTTGATGTTTTGAACTCTTTCCAATGTAATAGCAACCTTGTGGCTGAGATGAATAGTCCATCTTGTTGACAGCCGAGGTGGTTTAAAACAAAACAAAGGTATATTTATTTGTTTGCAGCTATCTTGTAATGAGATTCTCATGAAATCTGGTCTAGTAAAATGTCTATGTATGTCGTTCCCCAGCTACCATGTCAATGGCAGCCTGAATATTGGGGCTTCCCAAGTATTCCAACTCTAACAACTTGAGGTAGTTTAAAGGAAGAGAATGCTAGTGGATAGGGAGGGTTGCTGTTAGTGATGGGACGCACTCTACCCCACTTTGGGGATGCCGGTGGTGCTGTGGGTTAAACCACAGAGCCTAGGGCTTGCTGATCAGAAGGTTGGCGGTTTGAATCCGCGCAACGGGGTGAGCTCCCGTTGTTTCGTCCCTGCTCCTGCCAACCTAGCAGTTCGAAAGCACGTTTCTGTGTGCTGCTATGGTTCGCCAGAAGCGATTTAGTCATGCTGGCCACATGACCCAGAAGCTGTCTGTGGACAAATGCCGGCTCCCTCAGACTATAGAGCGAGATGAGCGCAGCAACCCCAGAGTCATCCGCGACTGGACCTATTGGTCAGGGGTACCTTTACCTTTTACCTACCCCACTTCAAGCACTGCAGTAAGCAGGGGCTGCCAACCATTTTGGACTACCTACTGGACACATTTTGAATTTTGAGAGAGTGTTGGGGGTGCCAGTCACAATATTGCTGCCACAGAGGGTGGCCTTTGTTCTGATATAATTGCCTAATGTAGCATTCCAAGGTATCACTATTCATATAGGGATGTTGAAGCTGGCAATTTCCATACCATTAAACCAACTGATATTTTCACCGCAGATTCCAAATGCTGTACAGAGAAGAAATACCAGCACAGCAAAGAAAATAGTTGCCATTTCCATCTCTGTGTAGGGGGAGCCCATGGCAGTCTTTCTGGTGATCTGTTGATAAAAGGAGAATCAAAACATTTATGAATAAGTATTATGTTATCATTCAAATTCCTAACTGCCAGAACCAATCTTTTGGAGCACCTCTCCCAATATGAACTTATCATTAAATCTTCACCCTTTTCTAGGTGCCCCCTCTGAGGGAAGCATTTCAGTTGTGTCTCCCCAGTTGTGGAACGCTTCCCCAGTGAAGTCTGCCTGGTGTCATCATTAACATCCTTTTGTAACCAGGTCAAAAAACGTATCTTTTCTCCCTGACATTTGCTGGCTTATGATGGTTTTGCTGTCTGTTGATGATGTGTCTGCTGAAGTTTTGGGTGCTATGTGTTTTATAGGTCACTAGCAGCCTTGTTGGTTGGATAGTGTTCTCAAAGCTACAAACATGAGTTTGACCAAACTGTGGGAGGCAGTGGAAGACAGGAGTGCCTGGCGTGCTCTGGTCCATGGGGTCACGAAGAGTCGGACACGACTAAACAACTAAACAAAGCAGCCTTGTACTCAGTGTTGCTCAGGAATTCCTAAAAAGCAAAAGATCACTGCAAGTTTTGAAATCAGTGCAGTCTGAAAGTTTGAATCCAGCATATTGATTTTAAATGGTGTCCATTTGTTTCCAAACACAGCGAAAACCTGCTCCTTGATCTCAGGAACCTTCATGCAAAATGTGGTTAGTATGTCTTAAGAGGTGTCTGAATGCATAGCAAATAAGACAAAGAACTTAAAAAATATATAGTCGTTTGTTCAGTTTTAATCACAATATGTTGCTCTTTTTTCTGATATTTTTATATTTTTGTAAACTGCTTGGAGATTCCTTATGTGTCAAGTAATTCACAATCTGAAAAAATACTGCTGCAGCTAAGAATAATGCAAAGTAGTTACATAGCAATGCAAACCAGCATGCAAGGCAATCACTGTCCATTTGTTTTGTTGAAATCTCTTTTCTACTGAGAGGTAGATGCAATGATAAGAGGAGAGTATGTGCTTGTGCTATATGTTTTGTTTTATTTTGCTTTGCTTTTGCCTCTCCCCCCCCCCCACTTTTAGAAGGTGTCTTTTAATTGCTTTGTGTCATCAGATGCTGTTTTTGTCAATGTAATTTGGTTCACATGTTCTCAGCCTGTGGCAAGCTATGGCATGAACTGCCAGAGTTTGATTTGCAGGAAACTGGTGTGAGCAGTCCTGTCTTGTTACAGGAGGATGGAATGCTTGGCCTTTTGTGGTCTCACCCTGTTGTAAGATTCTATGCATTGTCTCCATCATTCTGCCTGGACACTAAGGTCCAGCTCCGAGGGCCTTCTGGCAGTTCCTCACTGCGAGAAGCAAAGTTACAGTGAACCAGGCAGAGGGCCTTCTCAATAGTGGCGCCTGCCCTGTTAAACACCCTCCCATCAGATGTCAAAGAAATAAACAACTATCTAACGTTTAGAAGACATCTGAAGGAAGTCTTGTTTAGGGAAGTTTTTAATGTATGATGTTTAAATGTATTTTAATCTTTTGTTGGAAGCCACCCAGAGTGGCTGGAGAAACCCAGCCAGATGGGTGGGGTATAAATATATTATTATTATTATTATTATTAGCATGAGTGACATTTGCAAGATTTGTCTTTCCTACCTCAGAAATACCATCAACTTGTGGTGGTCACTACAGATACAATATAAACACAATAGACTGAAAGTTCTGGGGAAGCCACATTTCAGTGCATTCCTAAGCCCTTCCTTGTAGCCCTAATAGTGGTGAATTGGAAAGAGAAAAGATGGATGGGTGAGACTGCCCGCCCTTGCTGCATCCCATTTCTGCTGCCAGAAGAGGAAGTCAGGCCTGGGCTGGAGTGAAAAGGGCATTTGGAGGGAGGCATAGGAACAATGTGTTTGTATATATTGCTGTACACCACCTTGATATATTACGTGAGATGGTGTCATATAAGCATTTTTGTAAATATCAATACCAAAAAAGACCATGTGTTCAACTAGCCCAGTATTCTGACACTGACTGGCAGTGTTTTCCAGGGTTTCAGGAAAGAGTCATTCCCATACCTATTTGGAAACCCTGGGAATTGAACCCGGGATTATTGATAAATCTGATAGGCTGGGGTTTGCAGAGTTGAAGTTTAGCAAATGGTTGCTCACTTTTTGGTCAGAATTGCAGACCTAGTATATATGTGTGTGTGTGTGTGTGTGTGTGTGTGTGTGTGTGTGACCTGTCAGATGACATAGCTATAATTAGGTGACACAGCTATAAAAGAGACCCCCCCCAGGAGACCAATTCCAGGATATTTAGTGCAAACACACCCATGCAACTAAAATGATAAGGACAAAATGAACAGGAGCAAGTTATAACTAATAACAGACAAACAGCTCAGCAGAATAAAAATAGGCAACCCAGGTCTTTGCAGCTAAGGCTAAAAATTGGGAGGTAGTTTCAGAGTCTGGGTGCAGTCACTGAAAATACCCCTCTCTTGTTCCCCACCAATAGCCATTCAGAGGTTGTTACTGGGATCCAGGGGAGATTGGAACAGAAAATAAATGGAAGCTGTACCAGAAAGCTGGGGTTCAAGTAGAAGTGTTGGATAATCTGTATCCAAGCTGTGGTGTAGACTGTATTTGGAAAAAATAATTTGTTTTAACAATGTTCAATGAATTAGTTCAAAAATCTCTCAACTACACCTGAAAGTTGTTCCCATAATTGCTGTGGGGTGAATTGAACATGAAGTTTATGGGGGGGGGTAGAACTTCGAATGTCTCCCTTCTTCTTTAGACTCTTTGAGTTTTTAAGCTTAAACATGATAATTGTTGAGAAAAACAAATTAATCATTTTGCAATCCACTCTTCTTAAGTATGTTTTACTCTTTAGCACAGCAGCTCTCAGCATTCTGAATGCTGGGGGGAAATAGCCAAGGAGCATTTGGATAATTTGAATAGAACTGTGAACTGAACCTGAACCCAACTAGTTCATTTTGTATAAAAGGACAAGTGGGAACTGGAATCTATTCCTTTTTGGACAAGTTGAACTTGAACTAGTTGCTTTTAAAAATGAACTTTCCAAGCTCATGTACAAAATAGGGAGAGTATGCAATGCCTTAATTTCTAGCTTCTTCAGAAGTTAGGAGGAAATATTGCATTTATTTACAGTGGATATGGGATACACCCTGTTAAATTAAAATAATACCCATCTGTTGTGTTCTGTCTGCATCACCCCAGGTTAATCTACCAGAAGGCATGGTTTTGAAAACCTGTTTGTATACAGTGTGTGTGTGGTGTGTGTGCGCGCACACACACACTGTACATATATTCTTTAAGGCCGTAATTAGACCTGTCAGATAACACTGATATAATTAGCAAATTGTAAAGGGACTTTTTTTATGAGACCAATTGTGGGATTTTTAGTGCCAAGGCAGATGGGGGCTTCAAAACTACATTAGCACCGAACTATCCAAATTGCACACCCACTACTTCTCATCAGAATAGAAATAGCCCTAATGTTATACATAAATCCATGCCGATACTTTTAGTCCTCACTTTTGATGACATCAGATTTTGCACTTCTCCACACAGAAAGGTTTGAACTTGCACAGCAGCTCAAAAGTTCATCCTACACTGTTTGTTAGTTAAGTAGCAGTGTGCTCAAATGACAGCGATATCATGCCCTCCGTGATAGGAGATACCAGGAAGCATCTGATATGTAAAGCTGGTGCTTCATGTTCTGAATGCTATCACTCAGTTTCAAAAAAAAAAAAAAACCTTAGGAGTAAGCAAATAGACAGAATGGATGGGATATAGGTTGAATGAAGCAATAAAGCTGGAGCAGGTAACTGCAAGCCTGGGGTGGGTGTATACGAATGTGGCACTTCAGACCTCCTTATCTGGCTCTCAGGATCGAGGCCATTTCATCTCATCAGATCACCCCCTCACTGGCCCTGTTCTGCACCCTCTTTGAGTATTTTTGCCTGGCTGGAATGTGTCCTTGAACTACCACAATGCATCTTTCTTGCTTGTAGGGAGAGGTGGAGGAGGATGCAGAAACATTTGGCTTTTGCATAGCTGGAATATAGCTTAGTCTACAGAGCTAAGGGTCCTCTCCATTGACACACAACCCACTGGCACACAGTCCCCAGAAGATAGGGTTGCCATACATCTGGGCATATCTGGAATACTGCAGTTGGCATCACTGTCTGGCCGTAACTTTGGCCCCAAAAAACTCAACAACTTTTCTGCCTGGATTTTCACTGTTTGAAATATGGCAACTCTACCAGAAGATTCCCTGTGAGGGAATAGGAACATAGGAAACTGTCTCACACTTAGGCAGACCATTGGTCCGTTTTCCAGAGTATTGTCTACACTGACTTGTAGCAGCTCTCCAAGGTTCCAAGCAGGGAATGTCTGCCATCCCTACTCAGTGATGCCCCAGTTTCAGGGGTGCTGATTTGGGCCCCAGGTTATGGGTGCCCAGCGTGTGCGACATGACATCATGACGTGACATTGCGATGTGACGTCATGACATCACATGCCCCGCAGCCTCTTGTGGCACTGGAAGTCAGGTCCCAAGGTCTTGCAAGGCCTCAGACGGCATCTCCAAGGTCTCACAAGGCCTCAGGCATGACCTCTGGTGCTTTGCAAGGCACTGGAAGTTGCATCAGGGGTCCTGCAGTGTGGGTGCTGAGCACCCACAACAAATATTGTCTGGGTGCTTGGGCCCCTAAGGCCCCCTATAGTTGGCACCCCTGCCCAGTTTGAACTTTGAACCTTCTGCATGCTCTACCACTGAGCTATGGTCCTTTCTTCTGGTTTAGAAAGGGTTCCTCACCCCTGTAATAAAGGTTATTTTTTTAAAATGCTTTTTGCTGTATTTGTTTCATTCCCATATTGAGGACACACAGTTTCTGAAAATCTACATCTTGCAAAAATCTATCTTTATTGAGTTGGCCTAAAAACAACAGCAACAATATTTACTAGCCAGTTGCCCGTTCTATAAAGATGTGAATTCCTTAGGATCAAAACTTAAGGAGTTCCACATAATAAGCAACTTAGGGCACAATTATGCACATTGCTATTCAAAACTAAGTCCCATTCAGCTAACTGGAGCTTACTCCCATGAAAGTGGATATAGGACAGGAGCTATAGTATTTCTTACAGCCAAATGCTTTGGAATTAGTTTTGACATGAGATGGTTTCAGTGCAAGCAATTATTTGGAAAGGAAATAAGAAAATAGTCCTTGTTATATGTGAACAAATAATTTTGGGGGAGTTGGGGGAACATCTCTAGCATACCACTGTATATTTTGAAAGTAATAACTAAAATTGATATCTTTATTTGTGGGCTTCTAACCTTCAGAGGGTGCACAAACACCCCTATATTCACCTCAAAAAAATAAAAAATAAATGCGCAGGTTTCTGAGACTATTTTCTTTGAGCACTCTCAAAACCTCATGGGCTTTCCCAAGTTCTCAGGGGGGAAAGTGGTTGCAATTCCATGTGTCTCATGTGCCTGTTGAGATCAATGTCTCCATCCACATCTATTTGAACATACATTTTTAAACCCACATAATGTCCAGAAATGGTGGTGGTGGTAAACAGTGGATAACCCTGCAGCATTCATCCTACTCACCCCTAGCCAGAAACATATCTGATTTGTTGGGTGATAATACAAAGTGATACAGAATCACACAAGTAAGAGAAGATCGAATTAGAGCATGTTGCCTGTTAGTCCTGAAGTTGAGACAATGAAATGGGTTTCATTTTAACCGGAGGCTGTCACCATAGGCTAATGAGGATGAAGCTTCTGGATGGAGACAGCCCTGGCAGATGGTCAAGGTTCCAACCTGAGCCTTGTCCACCCACCTACTAAAGCTTCTTCCACCTCTCTTGCCTCCAACTCCACTTTGCATTTTCCTAGCAAATGTGCTTTGATGGTAGCACTGAAGTTTGTGTTTACCTAGCTCATAATACCAAGTTGGCCAGCTGAGCATGCTTACCTGATATATGTATTGAGGACTATCAGCCATGCATGCTGCAGGGCATTATTCCAAGCTTGTGTGATTTTAAACTAAAAGTAGTGTGTACAACAATCTGCATGGGGCTCCCTTCCTGCTCTGCATCTTCATCTGGTCTGTTCCTGGTCTTGATCCATGTGCTAGTAGAAGTAACAGCTCACAAAATGGTGACATCCACTTTCCCAACTCACAGAATGGTAGCACCTGCTATGTTCAGCGTATGGGTAATGCAACTGAACAACAAACTCCCCAGGAGTAATGCAGGTATGACCTACACTCAGTTGGCTTGTGCCAAAGCTACAAATCCAGGAGACGCCTTGGTGACAAAAACACAAACTTTCTCTAAATGCTTACTGGGAGAGCTTGAAATGAATGAGCCAAGAATGATAGATCATCTGTCATTTGCTGCAACACTTGAGCCACTCCTAAGTACTGTATTATTTTCTGCTTTATCTAATAAATGTAGCATTTACATAGCAGGATGCAAATGATAGGATTGCAAGCTAAATTCATGGAAAATGAATGGCATCACATCTTTTTGTTTTAGGCATTCTTTGCCAAACCAGTACCTGTGACTCCCTGCTAGAGATAGCATGGTAGATGACTGAAAGGATATCTGAAATTGGGTTGGGTTAACCATAATGCATTTCTGTATTTGAAAGTACTTAATAAGCCTATCTCCAAAGGAAAACAAATGTAGCTGTTTGCTTATCGAGCTATATCTGTCATCTATCTATTTATCTATCATCTAATCTATCACCTATCTATCTATCTATCTATCATCTATCTATCATCTATCTATCTATCATCTAATGTTCTCTCTTTCTCAAATCGTGCCAAGAGTTAATTTGTTACATCAAATAGTCACACATGGTCACATACATACAGCAGGGAATGTTTTACAGCAACAATGAAGCCCTGATGGAAGGTCTTGTTTTCATATTGAGAGGGATCTTTCCCCAGGAATTACAAATCATTTAAAAAGTCATTGCTGTACATAGTGACTATACATAATTCTCACTAATCCACTTTGTGAAACATGGTTTGAAAATCTTGTGTTGCTAACCGAAGGTGGCTTTGGGCTGTCAAAAACTCTTTTGTATTCTGAGATGTCTAGATGTTGATTCTCTATTAAATAAATTGTCATCAGGAAGACAATCTTTCCAGTTATTCTCCCAGCATGAATCTTTTATGAACTTCAAATCCCCCAGGGATAGATCTAAAGCAGACAAGGTCTTGATCTGACCACCAAAGACGGTTTAGCGCTGTCTTGTTACAATGCTGGCAATACCCAGTCTTGATGACTGACAGAAGTTGTTCCAGTTGGGGAGATTCAGATAAGCCACCTGAGTTCTTTAATTTTACAATGATTGACATTCAAACTTCTTATTGCTAAATATATATATATATATATATATATATATATATATATATATATATTACAAACCTACATTCTACAAAAACATCTCCAGCTCTATTGAAACTGTGGCAGATGGTGCATAAATGCACTGGGGAATGCAAAACTGGTGATCATACCATTGCTTCATTCACAGTTAATGAGATGTTTGAGATAATAGGAGCCCCTTAATCTAAGAAAATAGGTTATTCCATTTTATTTATTTCTGTAACATAGTCCTGGCCTATACCTTACCAGCAGTGGGAACTATTACTAAATGGAAATTCCAGTTGTATTTGATGGAAGCATGCCATGTGAATAGGAATGGCAATGTGGTTAGGGTGGCACTGGTGTAGGAGGTAAATCTAGCTGTAATCCTCTACTCACTTACTTTGGAGTAAGCATAACTGAACTCAATGTAAGTTAGTTCTCAGTAAATAGTACACAACTAAACTGTACACCCCCCTATACACCCCAATCAGATGTTACCAAAGAGTCAAGGAACAGGCATGGTGCAATACTCTAGATGTATGCTGGTAATAGCAGCAAAAAAGGAATGCGGGTGGCGCTGTGGTCTAAACCACTGAGCCTCTTGGGCTTTCCGATTAGAAGGTTGGTGGTTCAAATCCCTGTGATGGGGTTAGCTCCTGTTTCTCTGTCCCAGCTCCTGCTAACCTAGCAGTTTGAAAGCACACCAGTTCAAGTCAATAAATAGGTACCACTGTGGCAGGAAGGTAAACGGCGTTTCCATGTGCTCTGGTTATAACTTTTTTTCTTTGGACAAATTTGGATGAAATCTGTATACAGTGGTACCTCGGGTTACAGACACTTCAGGTTACAGACACTTCAGGTTACAGACACCACTAACCCAGTAATAGTACCTTGGGTTAAGAACTTTGCTTCAGGATGAGAACAGAAATCGCACTTTGGCGGCGCAGCGGCGGCAGCGGGAGGCCCCATTAGCTAACATGGTACCTCAGGTTAAGAACAGTTTCAGGTTAAGAACGAATTAAGTTCTTAACCCAAGGTACCACTGTAATATAATGACCTCTATAATTTGGCAAACTTCAACCACTCTATGAAGTGGTTAAAGACTTCCAAATTATAGGCAAATAAGTCCAGGACCTTTTGTGTTTTTTCCTTTTTTAAAAAATGAAAAAACCACCCATAACATTTTTTTAAATTTTTGGCCACAATTGGCAAAGGAAAAATCTTGCAAATTTTAGGTTTCATCCACCATCCCATTCTGGAGTTATGGTAAACTTAATTTATTTTGCTTTCAGCAAATGCTTGACCATAGCATTAGTGTGATGCCCACATCATCAAGGTGCCCAAAAGGTGCCACCTCCTAGAAAGAGCACTTCAACTCTGAGAATCCAGTCCAAGGTATCCTGCTTTGCCTTGTGAGTCAACCCAATCCAATGCACATCCCTTGAGATATGCTTTTAAACAATTAACATTTCTTGCAAATTTATTGTTTCTACTGTTTTGAGAGATTTAAAGCAGTTCAAGAAAATCCAGTTGACACAAGTTGCTTTAGCCTTGCGAGCGAAATCACCCTTATATTCCAGACTTTGAATTGGGAAGGTCAAATAAACATAAAAAGGTATGAGAAAGCAACCAGACTTACCTACAGTTCAGCATAAAATGGGAAATGTGAGGAGCCAGCATGACAGTTTAGAGATGTCCTATTAGCTTTGCATGTGTTTGGTGTCTCATAATGAATGCCTAAATCCTGACATTCAATATACACCCATTTTATTAGATATTATTTCCTATCTGGAAAGGGTTTTGGGGGGGAGGGGGGAGGGGAGGTTTTCCAGGGAGGGGCTATCAGCATTATTGCCGCATGACCTACAGTAAGAGAAGATATACAGATTAGTTTTTCCAAAACAACACCTGCTTCCTTGCTAGCATCACAGTAAAGTTCAGTTGTCCTCCTTTGTATGACATCTCTTTTTTCAGAGACATTTGCATTGTATGCATTCTTCTAATAACAACATTAAGGTGAGGCCAGATCACATTTCCTATCCATACTCAAAAGAGCACATTAGTGAACAGGTGCACCATGGATGCAAACAATATGAATTCATAGAGAACTGGCTGTCTTATTTAATCATTTATGGGAGAATCTAGTTACTGTTTGGAATGACCTTCTTTTGTGCTGGCACCAGTAAACTCGTTGTGCCTTTGATATAGCTCTTTTCCATCACTTTGCCCATTTTTTTCCCTTCTGGAAGTTCCTTTCCTGGACAAAACACAAATTATACTTGCCTACATACCTAGAATGTGATTTAGTCAAAGTAAAGCCCTTTTACTTTGTTGTTGTTGTTGCAGTGTGGGATTAGTTGATTCACTTACGCATCAAGGTACAAGAGAACTGAAATATTGAACAAGATGTGCTATCGCTGTCATTGTTTCAATATTCCAGAAAAATGGCACAGGGATCACTTTTTAAAATCATCTGATAGTCCTGTTTCTAAAGAACGGGGTTTTTTTTTGGGTTATCTGTGGACCACATGGAAATATAGTTAATGATACAGCTAAATGAGTAAAATGTTAAAAAATCATAAGCGGGTAATCTTCAGAGGATTGTATTTTGGAATTGAAAAATAGTTCACTGCTTGATATGGACTGCGGAGAATCTTCTTGATATTTTCATTTGATGATTTAACATCCAGCATTAATTTTATACAGGTAAAAAAAAAATTCTGTAAGGGGAGATTCTGTAATCTCCCCTTACCCCCTGACTGCCCAATGGATGCTTTCCCCAATTACAATATTTCCCATATGCTGTGCTTTGCTTGGGTTGGAAAGAGGTTGTGAATTCTGTCCCTTTTAGAACAAGATAAAAGCATGTTTTCACTCATTCTAACTTGTGTGATGAGAATCTCTGGAGGATGAAGTGTAATGTGTGCAGTTCATTGAGACAGACGGCTGCTCGCTCAAACAGAACAAAATCCAGATTCAAAGGTTCTTTCTTTTGTTTATACAAACTCAGCGTTGTTTTTTTAAAGATATTTATCCTAGAAAGGCATAGTTTCCTCCATTTTTTTTTTTAAAATGAAGGAAATGTACACCATAAATATAAAAGATCTCAGCAGGAAGAAATGGTGAAAGCACATAACCTTCTATTTTCAGCAGACAGGGAGTGGGCTAACACTGTTATCAAGCAACTCCAAAACTTTGGGAATTCTACTGCTCATCACAAGAGTACCATATTCCACTTTAATCTCCTCACTCTTTTTAGAAATCTTTCATTTGGGAAACAATTTTCTAGTGTGCTCCCAGCAGTACATTTGCGGGGAGTGGGTGGCTCTGTGGACTAAACTACTGATCCTCTTGGGCTTGCTGATTGGGAGGTCGCGGTTCGAATCCCCACGACAGGGTGAGCTCCCATTTCTCTGTCCCAGCTTCTGCCAACCTAGCAGTTCAAAATCACACCAGTGAGAGTAGATAAATAGGTACCGCTGCAGCGGAAAGGTAAATGGCACTTCCATGCGCTCTAGCACTTGTCATGGTCCTCTGCGCGCCAGAAGCGGTTTAGTCATGCTGGCCACACGACCTGGAAAGCTTTCTGTGGACAAACACCGGATTCCTTGGCCTGAAGCAAGATGAGCGCCGCACCCCATAGTCATCTTTGACTGGACTTAACTGTCCAGGGGTCCTTTACCTGTACTTTTCTCTTAGTAGGCAGAAAATTGTAATAGACATGCAAGAATGAGGTCTGAAACACGTGACCAGCTGAGAAGATCCTGGAGCAATGGAAGGGAAGGCAGGGGGTACATACAAGGGATGCAGCCTTTTCTGTGGTGGCCCCATGGCTGTGGAACTGCCTCTCTCAAGATATGCAATATGCTCCATCCTAGTTGCCCAGCCTTCTGGAGTAGGTTTGGGGATCTTGAAGGGTGGAGGAGAGGTGGGTGGGTGGGTGGAGTACTGTTGCACATGAATAAATCTTTGTGCTGACTGGATACATTAGTTGGATGCTACCCAAGGACTTTAGAAATTTATGGTAGCTCAAACAGAAAGTGGGGAGCTATGAGTAAAGTATTTTAACATACTGCTAAATAGTAGAATACACTTATTTTACTATGGGCTATTTCTGGGGTAGGCTTGGACCTAACTTACCTGTATGCTATTTCTACCTTCTCCAATCTGGTGCCCTTTAGATGTTGTTAGACTTCCATTTTCCCCAGTTTTAGCCAGCACATATATAAAGGTGACCAGGTTGGGGAGGTTGACCCGGGCATTATTTTTCTGCCTCATGACGTTGCCTGCTTTCTTTAAGTCACAGGTGCTGTCTTCGCAGGGCCCTGGGTACTGAGGCATCCACAAAACTTCCACTGTGGGTGCCTGGTCGGGTGACCCAACATGTTGCTTGTGTGATGTCACACAGTGCGCCAAGCCTCAATGGAACTCATCACAGCCATGGGAGGGTCTGATGGGGCCTGTCACATCATGTGATGCTATGCATGTGCCACGTTGTGCTGTGTAACATTATGTGTGTTGTCACACATGCACCGGGGCAACCCCAATGTGGAGTGGAACCTGGCATGCCTGCTTTGAGTTCATTACACAAAGGCCATTATGATGGGGAAAGGAGGAAGCGAAATGACAAACAATTGTGTAAGAAGAAATATAAAGATGATATTGGTGTGATTCTCTTGGGCTTGAACCCTACAGACTATTTGAGATTTGGACTTTTTGGTCTGCTACCTTGTAACATAAGAAATGTCCCTATTGTACCTTCTTTATATGTTTGTGTGACTTTATTATTTTCTGTGCCAGTTTCTGTGTTTCGATTAAAACATTAAGCCTTTTAACTCAGTGTTTGAACTACCAATTTAAGTTCAGCGGTTGAACAAGGCTCCAAGGACCAGAGATTAAATTGATTGAGAGGTCTGTAGGATATCTTGAAGTCAAGTTTGGCACCATTTTTAAAAATCACCCTGAAATTAAATTCCTACAGCACCTCACATTTTGCTGTGATATCAGTAATACTAGTGTACCTCGTGGTGCCTTTTCAACAGACACCTTTCAGCACCATATGGATGGAGCAAGATGATGATGTACAACCTGTGGAGCTGAAAACAATTAGGCTATTGATGGTCATGCCAGAATAAAAGTGTTCACGGCTTGTAATTTGCAATGGATTTTAGTATCGGTACCTGAAAAGATGATCTCTGCTTTTGAGCAGACAGACATCCTGTTGGATAAAATGGGAAGTCACAAATGTCATGCCATTCATGCTGTGGCTCATGGTGAGCACTCTCAGTTGGCTTGTGCATCTGTACAAGTAATTGGTTTTGAAGTGCAGCTTATCAAATGTGTTTGCCTCTGAAAAGGGAGAGAGAGAGAGAGAGAGAGAGAGAGCGCAAAATTTGTTTATGGGAAGATGAGGTTGGCATTCAGGTTCATCAGACGAGGCGCCTTGCTTTGAGAAAACAGGAAGGATGGCACCAAAAGGAGAATAAACACAAGATTAATTAGCAGTAACTGCGCCTCCAAGCATTGGCAGATAAGCTTCTGAAAGATAGGGATGTGGCCAGAGAGCAAAGATGGCCCATTAAGTCACTGAAATCCAGTTTATTTTTTATAGCTAGATATGGCCCAACCATTTCCAGAAAACTAGGATGTGTAACAAAAGCAGATGAAGGAGTACAATGTGGCAGAATAGAGAGAAGCTAGCCAGGGTTGCTACGTTGTTATCAAGTTGCTCTAGAAATGAAGGTCCAATTATGCCATTACCTATAATAATTTAAACCAAATAAACCATGTCAAGTTCCTTACCTCCGTAACAGTCTAGGCCTAAGTAAGAGCTACTGGAGGACAAATAAATGGACTGCTGTTCCAGTACCTTGTAGTAATCTATGTTGCCATTCTGGCATTTGAATTAACCTCTGATGACACTGTAACAATGCAACAGCTTGGGGCCAACTACTGACGAAACTTCCAAATGGAGCAATGAAGTATGCAAAGCTATTATTTTGCAAACAAAATGGATGCACAGTGTGTTTGATACAGGCTGTCCGAAGTATATAACTGCTGAATTTTATGCACTTGACAAAGCAATCAAGCTAGTATAATGCTAACACTGATGCTAATGATCTATACAGTTGTACCTTGGTTTTCCAACAACTTAGTTCTTGAACATTTTGGCTCCCGAACGCCGCAAACCCGGAAGTGACTGTTCCAGTTTACGAACTATTTTTGGAAGCCGAACGTTCGAAGGGGCTTCCATGGCTTCCGATTGGCTGCAGGAGCTTCCTGCAGCCAATCAGAAGCCACACTTTGGTTTCCGAACGTTTTGGAAGTCGAACGGACTTCTGGAACGGATTCCATTCTACTTCCAAGGTACGACTGTATAGGTGCAAAACAGACAAGTACAACTGATGTCACATATTGTAGTATATAGCTATAATAATACTTAGCTTTATAACTTTAAGCTATTTTAGGTTTCATGGTTAGGCCAGTGGCAGATAATCTATTGCTGGCAGCAGTTCTCCATAGCCTTTTCACCACCACATCCATCTTTGAGTGTGAGGCTATAATAATGCCTAATATGTCCACAGCACAACTGCTAAAAACCACTAGAGGCGGAACTCAAGACATTTATGAGGAGCAGCTGTTGGACATTTGTAGTTTCAGTAACTGAAAGTGTCCAATCAACACAGCCACACAGGATGTCGTTACTGATTGGGTCTTCATGTTGCATTGTGTCCAATTGTTATTGAAAATGTTGAGCCATCAGTGATGTTTAGGCAATTTCATTCTGCTCCTCTGCAAGATTCCTAGTGTCGGAGCTCATCAAGAGGAGTCTCCTTCTGCTTTGACAGCTCTTGGACAGCATAATACCAATGTACAACCTTCTTTTATTCTAGATCATCACAAACGTGCAATCATGGCCATTATCCTATTGTTGCAACCTGTTGGGGGGGGGGATTCTTGATGACTGCCAGGAAGCTGGAAATGCTAACAGCAAATTCTTTATGGAGCATGCAGTCCATTTTCAAAGGAGTACTTATCAATCACAGTACAATGTTCACTCTTCCCCATACTAAAGCAGCTGTAGAAAAGAGAGAGAGAGCAATGCCTGTGTGTATCATTGCCTAGGCAAAAATAGCCTAGAGGTTACTAAGATAGTAGTTACTTTAGACATTCTGCATGTAAGGTTTTTGCTGTTGTTGTGGTTATTTATAGTATCGTTTTGAACATTGCCTGATGTATTGGTGTTTTCCTAATGGAAAAGTAGATGCTGCATCCCTTTTAAAATGGTGCAACTCAGTCATGGCAACAGTGACAAAGATTTATGCTGAAAACCAACGTGCAATATCTCATGTTGCTCTTAACATGTTAAACCTGAATGATGAGGCAATTTAGAAACAATTTTACATGTCATTTGCTCTCTAATGGCATCTTTGGAACCATGTTTTTCATTATCCCCTTTTCACCAATGGCGAAATGTTGTCAAACGATTCCACGAAGTGAATTGACAGCCTCACTTTCTCAGTTTTGGGGGTTCCTAAAACATAAATCAGAAAAGAACAGCTCTGCTACATGACTTCTATGCTACTTCTGGTCAATTTCAGTGTGATTTAGTTGTGACTCAATTTTGCTAGACTATGCCCACAATGTTAGTGAGGGGGGGGGGGGGACAAATCTTAAGACTGTGCACATGGAAATTGTGAGAGATATGTCACAGATAAAAGGTCTGAAAAAGTATTGAATCCATCTTTACCATATTGTATAATGAGATGTCTTAACAGCTTGTTGACATTCTGAAGTTGCTCACAAACCAATGTGTTTGCTGGCAACAAGTTGTAAGAGGAAACGTAGAAGGGATCAGAGTTTGTGCTAAGCAACCTTTTCTGTCATTATGCCTATCATCAAATCCCTGACCCTTGGGGTAGGGTGAACCAAAGCTGAAGCAAGACAAGCTGAAGTTGTCTGTGGAAGCCCTGTGGGGAACTCCTATTTCATCAAAGACTCAGGAGAGACTGGTAGGTATATATCCTGCCAGGCAGACCCTCTTCCAGGTCATCTGCTGGGTCCCAATCCACACTTGGTTCTTCTCTGGCCTCTGCTTCTGGCAGCCAGGCTCTTTCACTAGCTCTGGATTTCTTGTTGAGCCTGATGCTACCTCTGCTCCTGACAAGTTGGAGTAAAAGCAGGAGAGATAGAGGTTGCAGCCAGAGTCCAGGTACAGTTGAGGGAGGCAGGCAAGGTGGCATAAAGACCTACATTGGCTCCCGGTATGTTTCCGAGCAAAAATTCAAAGTGTTGGTGCTGACCATTAAAGCCCTGAACGGCTTTGGCCCAGTATACCTGAAGGAGCGTCTCCACTCCCAGACACTGAGATCCACTTCTGAGGGTCTTCTGCGAGAAGCAAGGTTGCAGGGAACCAGGCCTTCTTAGTAGTGGCGCCCACCCTGTGAAACGCCCATGTGATATCAAAGAAGTAAACAACTATCTGACTTTAGAAGACATCTGAAGGCAACCCTGTTTAGGGAAGTTTTAATGTTTGATGTTTTATCATGTTTTTAATATTCTGTTGGGAGCCGCCAAGAATGGCTGGGGAAACCCAGTCAGATGGGCGGGGTATAAATTGTTATTGCTATTGTTATTGTTCAGCCTGCTTTATAATGATTCTTTGGGGTCCTCAGTTGTGCTGGAAGTCTTCACATGGCCACCACTTCCCCTAGACCCTGACACCTTAAAGTTATCTCATTGTATTATTATTATTTTCTCTGTGGATTTCATTCGGTATCTTCCTCTCCCCAGCATGTTTAAAATTTAGCTATTATCAGTTGTATGTTGCTGCCTTTCTCTCCCTATTAAACTTCTTTAAATCCTCTTTTTTAAATAATTCCCAAACCCAACTACCTCTTTCACCACCCTGCTTTATTTTCCCTCATAGCCTTTGTGTGTCTCAATTTTTGCAGAAAAAAACAAAAAAATTAAAAAATGCTGATGTTGCACTACCTAAACCATTTCACAGCTAACAGGTTTTTGGAGTGCTAATTCTTTTTGAAGTATGACATCCATTGTTTTGGTGAAACACCTGGAACAATGATGTGTTAAAAACAAACTAATGGATCCCCCGCTTTCTGAACTGAAATAGCAGTGTTGGCTGATATGTAAATAATAGAGTTATTCATACCATCTGTCACTCTTGTATGGGGGAAATAATTTGGTGGTTCTTGTATGCAATTGAGCCTAGCTGTTCTGTTTTGATGAGTGATAAGTGTAAAACATTGCCACTGTCAACAACTGTATATTCTCATGTCATTTCTCATTTTAATGGAGCAAAAGGTGCTGAGAACAAATGCTCTGAGCTGATACTAATCTTCTGCT